GTGTGAAAAACGCATCTTGGAAACATGAAAAATGTCAGAAAAATGAGAAAGAAAATTTGACAAAATAGACAATTCTTGAAAGATATTTGAAATAACAATAAATCGTTGGATACAAGTTGGACACAAACACTGTACAAGAATGTGACACATGTTGGAAAAATGGCACAGTGTGAAAATGCGAGGGGACAAATAGACAAATAAGATTTGAGAAAGAATGTAAGAGAAAAATAATGTTGGGACAAAATGGAGAAATATTAGAAGGAAAACACACTGGTACTGGTGAAATTGCCCCCCAAAAAAGCACATTTTTGAGAGGAAAGTTTTGGAAAAAAAACCGCCCTTGCAGTTTGGTCCACTCACGCTCATACAGCCTCCTGGGCGGGGGCGGCGGTCCGGGCCCCCACGAGTCGCCTTCCAAGTCCTCATCAAAAGGAGAGCCTTGCGGAAGCGGAGCCAAGTTGAGAGGCGACTCGCCCGGCGACGGCGGCGACTGCCGTCCGACTCCGAACGCCGGCGAATCCTCGTAGGGTCGCCCCGGGTAATAAGCCTCACTGGACACAAGACAACAACACGCAACTTTGTGTGGATTCGTATTTCGGCGGGAAATAGTCACCACCGCTTCCCGTACTTGATGATTAAAAACAAAACTGCCGGGGCAAAAAATACACCAATATTGTTGAAAAAAAATGTTAGGCTAGTAGCATACAGTACATGCCGCAAAAATATAATCAAGGAATACACAGTTGTTGGAAGAATACCAAAATATAAATGTCACACAAATTTGAGGAAAAGATGACCAAGTGACTTGAGGAAAAACAACCACATATTAGGTAGAAAAATACGGAAAAAATGACATGAATATGAATGACGCCTAATGTCACTAAACACATCGACACTTTGTCGGTCACACTGGTAGGGTGTCCTTCCTCGGTTGCCGTGGGGGGAAAAACAAACAAAAAAATATGAAAACAAACAAACAAAAAAAATACTTCAATAATTAATGTTTTCCAAATACCAGTTCACGAAAAAAGTTTTCCCAAATATAAAAAAAAAAAAATGATGGGTAAAAAGTTCAACTTGCTACTGATCCTTTGGCCTACCACAAGAGGGAGCCACTTTGACAATCAGCGTTGGAGTGTGTTGTCATTATTGTCGTCGTCGTCGTGCGCGCGTTTGCTCTTACTCAAAGTGCCGGGGGCCGGGATAGGCGTCAGCCGGCGGCGCCCCGCCCGGGAAAGCGAAGCCGCCGCCCCCTCCCGGAGTGTAGTCGTCGTAGTCGGTGGCGGCGAGAGCGTCCGGGGGGAAGGCGTCGCTGCTGAACGGGGGGAAGAAGGGCGGCCCTTCGAGGAGAGGAGACGAGAAACGACTCAGAGGTGATCAGGTGTCATGACCGACAACATTCAATACCAAAGAAAGCTCAAGGAGCCACTTGCTGCTTCACCAAGTTGAAGGACAAACGGCGATCGCCTCGCCATTGCAAACAGGCCGCAAATGGCCACCCGGTGTTAAATGTATGTCCAGTCAGAAAAAAGCGATGCCAGATTTCTCATTTGCATTTGTAGTTTTTTTTTTCTCCAATCTGAATTTCACATCTTTGGGGAAATTGCACAATGACTTCTCAGTTCATATTTGAGGATTTCTAAATGTATAGAATAAAATAATGAGTGCATTTCAGACCCCCGCCACTAAGTGGCGCCAGCAGACATCACAACAATGGCCGACCAATCGATTCACATCGTTTGGGGTGGGGGGGGGGGCAGTCGCGAGTCATGAGGCTGCTTTGCCAACCGCGGAGGGTGCCGATGGAAAAAAAAAAAGGTTGGACCTCCACCTCTTCCTGGTCCAAGCGCTTCCGGGTCAGGGAAGACGACAGCAGGGAAGGAGCTGCACAGGCTGCCAAAGTCATCTGCGGAAAACAACCCACGTCAACATCACTTGAATCAAATGGAAGACTTTGAATTGATTCTGCCTTGACTTCAGCGGCTCAAAAAACTCACTGAGACGACAAAGGTCTTTTGCAAAGAGTGACCTGGGATTTCATCGTTTCAAGGCTACTTCCATCAAATGAAGGAAGGACTTGTCAACATGGCTTCAACACAAATTCAAAGCACTCCAAGACAAATTTAGGACGGTTTAAGAATTCGAATAAGCACTTCACGCACCTTTTGAAACCAAATCAGTCGTGTTGGTCATTGCTCAGAATTGCGATGCGGGACGTGTTTTTTTGCACTGGATAAAAAAGTTTTTTTTTCCTGCAATGGTAAAGCGAATGATGATGATGCATATCATGACCATTCCCTTTTTTTCCCATAATGCCTTTGGGCTATGTGCGTGGGCAAGTCAATAGACTGTGGCATTATGGGAAAAAAAAACCCTCATAAAAGCCAGCAAATATTTGGTATGATGTAGGCCAAAAACATTGTTTTTTGGGGGGGGGGGCAATTTGTCAGACTTCCCTCAGCCCCCCAGCCAGCCCTCATCGTTACCGGAGTCGGTTTGCGGGCAAAGAGCACACTCCATGCCCCAGCCCTGGCCGTAGAGACAGCAGCAGTCGCTGAAGGTGACTTGCGCCCCCAACAGGGGACTCTGGCACATCAGCTCGGCGCTCACCGTCTGCCAGCACACCGACAAGTTCTCATCTGGCCAGGAAGACACACACACGCACACCCGTGGTCAGCACGAGTTATTAGCCACACTGATGATCAGATCACTTGTTCAACGCGTTCCCGATTCCACGTGAGAGTTTTGGGTGATGGCGTTTCATCCAAATGTGGACACGGTGAAAGTTTTCAAGATGACGTTCCGGACTTCCTGAAGAGCAAATGCAAGACTTTTCGAGATGCCGCTCTGATGCACCCGGAGATCGTCGCACTTGTATTTCTTGTCGGACTTTGAGTGAACTCTTTCAGACGGCGTCCTTCACGTTTAAGACTTGAAAAGCTCCCAAGGCCACGATCATCCATCTCGCGGCCAATTTCGTTCCATTTCAGATATGAATGCGGCAACGACTCCCAGAAATGTTGAGAGCTTTTCTAAGGCCCTGCCGATCAAAGACACCACGATTGAAGAACCTTGAGAGGCCACAACCCATCACATCGAAGATTTTCCTTGGGCCGACGGAAGCCCTCTCTTTCGCAAAGAGATTTCCAAGCAATGAAGGCCGCAACACGTGCCACGACATTTCCTCATTTCGGCCGAGGTGTCGCGCGGCGCCGAAGGCGAAGGGGACGTCTTACCGGGGGTGAGGTGAGAGGCGTTGACGCACTTTCGTTGCGTGTCGTCCAGCACGAGAGGCGGTGAGCAGCTGCAATAATAAGACCCCAGGGTGTTGACGCACGAGCCTCCTTCGCAACTCTCCTGCTCGCACTCGTCCAGATCTTGAATGCGAACAAACACAGCGCCAAGGTGAAAAGCCTTCCGGCCACTGGATGGCGCGCATACGGTCATGGGGGGGTCATTGATTCAAAAAACACCAAGCTTAAACTGAAAAAAACGGATGCAGTCACAGTTCCATTCAAAACCAGGCGCATAGTTTGGCCTTTGGCACCCCCCCCCCCCCAAAAAAAATGCAGGAATGTGTGCGTACCGACACACTCGAGTAGCGCGACGCTGTAAACAAATCCGCTGGAGCAGTAACAGTTGTAACCGGGAATGTTGTTGACACAAACGCCGTTCTTGCACACCTGCGGATGGAAGCGCTTGCACTCGTCCACATCTGACGGAAAGAGAGCAACAACAAAAAAGGTCGAGATGATGGCGGAGGACGTGGCACTCGGACTGCCGACCAGTCTGCTCTTTGACCACGTGGCCGGTCATGGATGGAGACCAATCACTTGGTTGTCACCGCCGACACAGAGTAAGGATAAACGTGCCCACCTGTGTAGCTGAAGTCCGCCTCCCCGGAGGTCACGTATCCTCTCCCGCTGGGACACAGCGACAGGAAGTCGGCTGCACGCAAAGCATCGGGGGCGTGACGTCACCCAGCGGCGCGGCCCGGCCCGGCCCGGCCCCGCGACCCCGACTCGGGGGGCTCTCACCTGAGTTGGCGGGGGGGCAGGCGAGGTACCTGCAGCCCAGGCCCCAGCCCTCCCCCAGGGTGCAGCAGCACTCTTGCCGGCTGGTGTTGGCGGCCAGCAGGCTACACGACGACGAGCTCACGTCGTAGTAGCACTCCCGCAGCTCGCCCGGACGCGGCGCCGGCAACTCAAAGGCGCCCGCGTGGAAGGAGGACGAGGATGAGGAAGGGCGGAGGTCGAAAGCCTCTGCCGCCGAACAAGAAAGTGGGCTGTCATGCGGGAGTGTCAACGCCAACATGTTTGCAAATGCAATGGGTGCTTTGGTGCCATCTGGTGGCAGCTTGGAAGTCAAGGTAGCGTCAATGCGTGCGGAATGAGCGCGCGTGCGCGGATACCTGGCGGCAGCGGGCTCACGCATCGTCGAGCGGCTGCGTGGAAGTGTTCCCCCGGCGTGTCGCACTCGCACATGAACGAGCCTTCCAGGTTGTCACAGCGAGCCGAACCGCACACGCCGGGCATGGACGCGCACTCGTCCTCGTCTGGAACACACACGCATACACACGTTGCGCAGGCACGCGGCAAGGCCAAACCCCCGCGCCGGCCGGCACGACCACGTACCTTCGCAGGAGTTCCCGTCGGGCGCGGCGGTGAAGCCCGGGTCGCACACACACACGTACGTCCCCGCCACGTTCTGACAGACGGCGTGCCGGCCGCAGGCCGATCCGTCGGCGCACTCGTCCACGTCTGGCGGAGGAGACGCGGATGGTGGGAGAGTACTTTCGGCCGTTGGCGTTCGAGGCGCTCGGCTCATCAAACTGACCGTGGCAGCGTCCGTCGGCCGAGGCCCGGAAGCCCGGCTCGCAGGAAGTCAGGCAGCGGTACGAGCCGATGGTGTTCTCGCAGCGCTCGGATTCTCCGCAGATGGAGCCGCCGGACGACGCGCACTCGTCCGCGTCTGAAAAAGGCGCACGTGGAAACGTGACAAAGCGGCGATGCGTTTGGGGATTTTAGCCGCAAACGTGCGTCAACAAATGATTCCGTGTACCGAGGCAGGCGTTGCTCTCCGGGTTACTGACGAATCCCCGCCGACATCGGCACGCGAAGGATCCTTCGGTGTTGACGCACTCGCCGTCGGCGCACACGTCGGCCCTCGCGCACTCGTTCACGTCTGCACGAGGCGGTCAAGGCGTCTCAGGCGCACGTCGTCCTAGCGAGCGTCAAAGAAGAAGGCGTACGTACCGACGCACGTTCTGTTGTTGCCGTCGTGGCCTTCGTCGAGCGCGTATCCTTGAGGACACACGCACCTGAACGAGCCCGGGGTGTTGACGCACTCTCCCGTGGGGGGGCACCAGTTCTCCTCCAGACACTCGTCAATGTCTACACACCCACGCAAAGTCCCCGCAAGGCAGTCAGAGACCCTAAGCTCGGTCAGCGAGCACGGGATCGGGTGGACTCACCTCGACACGGTCTCCCTCGACCGAAGGTTCGATACCCCGGTAGGCAGTTGCAGCGGAACGAGCCGACGGTATTGACGCACACGCGCTCCGTCTCGCAAGCAGACTCATTTAGGCACTCGTCCACGTCTGTGGGACATTGACCACCAAAATGAGTCCAGTGCGCGTGCACGCACGCATGTGTGTGGTCTGAATTTGACATTGAACAGCGTTAACTTCTAATTAACTGTCGCATTGCATCACCTGATCATGCTATCTGCAAGTGCTGCAATGCAAAGTTGGTTAGTGTGCAAGGTTGTGCGCCAAACTTCATCCTGCCATCTGTAAGTGTCGCTCTGCAAACTTGGTTGCTATGCTAGGTTGTCATTTTGCTGGAAGTCAGGCTTTAACCCCTCCCAAGAAGAAGAAAATGGCATAAGAGGCGCTGCACCCCACCGCTTGGGGAGGCAGGCGCTCCATCACAGATCTGTCAGTGGTGTTTCGCCCTCAATTGAAGGTGAAATAAATCTCTTTTGTGGTCTTGGTTTCCCTGGACAAGACACGCATACCTTCACACACTCCATTCGTAGCCCGGTAACCTTGGCGACAGTCCACACACTTGTAGGAGCCCTTCGTGTTGACACACTGCCCCCCCGGACACAACGATGAGTCCTCACACTCGTTGACGTCTGATCAAGACAACAGATTTGTGTGCGTATTTGTGTTTTTGGGAGATTTTGTGTGTGTGTGTGTGTGTGTGTGTGTGTGTGTGTGTGTGTGTGTGTGTCTTACCTGTGCACTGTTTGTTGGTCAGTGTGTATCCTGGGCGGCAGGACACGCAACGATACGAGCCCACAGAATTGACACATATCTGACCTGGACACTGAGACACATCTGCGCACTCGTCTATGTCTGGACACACACAGACACATAATATTAATAATAATAATAATAATAATAATATAATAACAACAACACATACACACACTTGCTCGAACATACACAAACCCAGTCAAGCGCGCACGCGCGCGCACACACACACACACACACACACACACACACACACGTGCGCACGCTGCGCATAGACGTCGTGATGAAGACCTCATCGACCGTGTCTCATGTTATGTTGTACTGTTGTGGTGTTGTGGGTCGACCTGCACAAGTGTTGTTGGTGAGCTTGTAACCATGGCGACAGAGGCATCGGAAGCTTCCGGGAGTGTTTTCACAGCCCCCGTTGGTGCATGGAGCTTGAACACACTCGTCAATGTCTGACCGTGCAAACACACACACACACACAAACAAATATACATGGATGGATATACATACCACTAAATATTTTGATATTTGTCTGTGCGGTGTCGTGAAAATGACGATGTTACCTGTGCACAGTCCATTCAGAAGTCCGAATCCCGGCTGACAGGACACGCAGCGGTACGAACCAGGATTGTTTTTGCATTCCTGACCAGGACACAGCAGGGGATCCTCACACTCATTTACATCTGGGCGGGGGGGGTCAACAGTAAGCCACGTTAGTGACAGTATCCAGGAGCAAAAGGCACGTTGGTGACATTACATACGTTAGCCACATTAGCAATGTTAGTTTCATTCACCACAGCGGTGACGTGAGCTTCGTTTGCCTTGTTAGCTACAGTAGAGATGTTAGCTACTTTAACTAAGTTATCCACACCGGTAACGCTAACCACGTCAGCCATTTGAGCGTTTTTAACCCTTACGACAGTGGCCGCGGTGGTCACGTTAACCGTACGAGCCACATTTGCAATGATAGCCTCATTTGCTAAAGCTGCGACATTAGCTTCGACAGCCTTGCTAGCCACATGGGCAACATTAGCAACGCTAGCCATTGAGCTAAATTAGCCACACTAATGACTTTCGCCACCTGAGCTACATTAACCACACAGGCAACATTAGTGAGTTCGACCCTGACGCGGCATACGTCACGATGACGTCACAGTGTTAGCTGGAGACTCGAGTAAACGCCACTACTTTTATGTAAAAAGCTGTCGTCTTTCTTATGTTTTCAAACCGTAAAAGCATAAACAAAAATTTGAAATTCAATCGGACCCCAGCCTTTGACAGTCAGAGAAATCGCAGAAGGCTCTGGCTGAACACGTTTCGGCATATCGGGGAGATTGAAGATGAAATGTACGAGCATTGTGTCTGAAATTACTTGAAGTTAGTCATTATTTGGGGGATTCCTTATGTAGGATTATATCCGACATGCCCTCATGCTAAACTTTAGCGAACTCGTTTTTTAAATGCTTCAGTCGTGTCCAGGCGATACCCCCCAAGATGGTACCCATCACTTCTTGTCAAATCTTTGGAGAAGAGGCTCGACTGGGGAAACGATGATGACATTGCCAGCCCTAAAAGTGCAGTTTGCTGTTACCTTGACAGCTAGTCTTCCGAGCGTCTGTCTTGTATCCAGGTGGACAAACACATCGGTAGCTGCCTGCATTGTTCACGCACTCACCTGGAGCACACACACCCCGAGACGCAACGCACTCATTCACATCTACACACACACACACACACACACACACACACACACACACACACACACACACACACACACACAAACGGGACTGAATCAAGAGTGCGTATCATGTTGTGTTGTATGTGATGGCGCTAGCCTATTGGAGCCAAGAAAAACTCTGGTTGAGTATGTGTTTGCTCACCCTGGCAGTGCGTACGCTGGGCGTTGGCCTTGTACCCTTGATGACACACGCACGAGTGTTTGCCACCCGGCTGATCCACACAGCGACCGCCGCCACAGGCGTCCGGTTTGCTCTCACACGCACCTCGCACTGCACGCAAATGTAGCAATGAGCCAGTCTTGAAAATGGCTCGTATGCGTTTCAGACGCTCCCTGGCGGACTTACGCTTCACGTGGGGCGGCCGGGTGGTTGTTTGTGGCTTCAAGAGATCTCCCCGGGGGCCGGAGTCTTGCTCGGGGATCCGTGGAGCCGGTTCCGGGAGAGAATCCCCTCTTCCTGGGAGAAGACCTGTCCGACACATCGAGAGCTCATCTGATATTTGTTGTGGAAGACAGTTCCCTTTCCTGCCTGTTGCTCATCGGGTACCTTGACTAGCACTTGTTCCTCGGTTCCAGGTAGAACTTGGACCTCCACTGGTTTCTTGGCTCCCGTCGGTGCCTCGGTTGTCACTTGCGACTTGGTTTCGATCGGTGACCGGGCTTCTGCCGCTGCCTGGGCTTTGTTTAGTGGCCTCCTTTGCGCTCGAGCTTTGGCTGATGCTGATCCCTTGACCTAGTCTCGTGCCTTGACTCCGATTGGGGATTTGGCTTCTGCTCGTCCCTTGCTTGTGACCGGTGACTTGGTTCTTGGTAGTGTCTTGACTCCCATCAGTACGTTGGTCCCAGCTCCTGTCTAGGTTCTGACTCGAGCCCTGGCTTCCGCTCGTGTTATGGTTCTGACTTGAGCCTCGATTCCTGCCGATGTCTTGGTTCTGCCTGGTGCCTTGACTCCTGTAGGTGACTTGGTTCTGACTTGTGCCCTGACTCCCTGCAGTTCCTTGGTCGCGGCCTGTATCTTGACTCTCATTGGATCGCGGTGGCCATCTTACAGGAGCCGCGGTTGGTTTTGGGCGGGTCGGCTGGGTTGCGGCCCCGTCGGGAGTCTGAGGTCTGTGCCACGCGGCGCTCCCGGGCTTCGCAGGTCTCGAAGGTGGCGGGCTGACCGCCAGGCGAGGTGGAGGCGGACTGGGTCGGCCGGAGGAGGGCTTCTGCTGAGACTTGCCGGCTCCACGAAAAGCAGTGCCTGTAAGAGGAGAGACAAATGGATCTCGGGGGTCATCTCAGATTTTATTGGCTGCAAAAAGTGAGGCGTGGCTAGCGAGTCTGCAGCGCGTACCGTGGTGTCGTTGGTCGCCGTTGGTGACCAGCTGAGCTCCTCGGGTGCCCAGTTGATCTGCGGCTCTCTGGCTGAACTGGAGGACGGAGGCGGAGTAGTGGTAGCCCGGACCGGCAGGGCAGATCTCCTTGAAAGCCGCTGGGAGAGCAAAACATCCTCAAGCCATATGCGGGCTTCTTCCTACAGTTACAATTTAGAGGAGGTCCCCTTCAGCCTGATTTTTGTCCGCGTTCTCATGAAAACCATCGTTGCACTAATTTGGGTGTCACGTTTTCCTGCGATTGTGGGATTGGGTCGCAGCACTGTATTTGACACAGCTGCAAGTCAGTCCTAAAGCTGCCCCCCCCTCAAAAAAAAAAAATGTTTGAGACGCGAAATCCCTGCCGACCCTTCACCTCCAACAAGAGCACTTCAAGCCCCTCATCACGAGAGCGGCGACTCACCCGAGCCGAAGTAGGGGCAGCGCTGGCATTCGGGCCCCCAGGCCTTGCCGACTCGGCTGCAGCAGCAGATCTGCTTGGTGATGTTCCTGAGGATGGGCAGCGAGCAGGAGGACGGGCCCAGACCTGAGCCCAGGACCCGGTGGCACTGACCCTTCTCCTCAGATATCACACTCTGGGCTGCTCAGGACACAAGAGAAGACACGCGGAGATATTTCAAGCAGAGGGGTCCCACTCATTTTCTTTCGGGGGCCGCAGTTTGATCTCAAGTGGGCCAAAGCTGTATGTCTGTGGCCTAATAAGCAAGTAACAACAAGGGGCCCAAATGTTTCATGGTTTTGGCATCCAATCCCGAGGACAATTTCATCAAGTCATTTTGCTGGTGACCTGACAGTGCAGAGGTCGCTAGTATTCCGGGCTCCGGCCTCCCTGTGTGGAGTGTTTGTCCTCGTGCCTGCAAGCGGTTCGGGGTGTACCCCGCCTGCTGCCTGAAGACAGCTGGGAAAGGCCCTGGCACGCCCTCGTGAGGAGAATGTAGTTCGGATAAGGGAAGGACTGGCATTTCAGTGGTTGTCAGGCTGACCAGCGCACCCTCCGGTGGACAAAATCGGCAACAACAGTTCACTTTTGTGAAAAACTGCAGTTTGTGTTCTGTGCTCAAATTGGACCCAAGACGGGCTGGGTCTGGCCCGCGGGCCATGTTCTTGATTCAAAGCCTTTCATCTTTCTTTTGGGTTGATGTTTCATGGGTTCGGAGTTCACTGGCAGCCATTTTCAAACCAAAAGAAAGACTAGACTGTTCCTCAAAAAATGTTTCCATTTTTATTTTCTATTCTCTGGTCAGCAGCAGTCGTACGGAGCACTAATATACGACTATACGTGTTTGGAGCAGGACCAGTGTTTATATTTGGATTCAGTCAAGCGAGTCTCGCGAGGGCTGCTGTTTGTGTGCACGCTTACTTACAGATGCAGAGTCCGTGCGAGGCATCCAAGATGTAGCCCGGCTCGCAAACGCAACTGTAACTCCCCGCCGTGTTCACGCACAGGCCGTTCTCACAAAGGCCGGGCTGCAGGCACTCGTCCACGTCTGCGCACAAACGCAGCGGCAAAGTTCACTCGCTCTGTTGCCGAAGGTTTCAAGGAACAGGCTCATAGAGTGCATCATCCTCATATACTGTGCTGCCCTGACTTTGGATTTGTTTTTTTTTTTTTTGTTTTGTTTTGACTTAAAAGCGCAAAGAGCAACAAGGCGTCGTTTAGCAAAGAGCGACTGGAGATTGACATGCTGTCGACTAAAGACAAGTAAGCAGCCTTGAGAACGGCCTTGGCAAGCCCAAGGCTAATCGAAATGGAAAATGCCCGTGACACGCTAACTGTTAGCATTGGTAACTGCAGTTCCAGAGTCCTCGAAGCAACAGATATTTGAACGCATGTAGTACGACAATACTCTCGGGTCTACGGGGACGTGCTGGGACAAAAACTCGTCCTTCGGCTGGCCCTGAAACGGACCTGCCATTCGGGATTGTTCCGAAACACCCGAGGGCCACCATGGCCCAGCACTAGATGGGGAAAAAAAATCTGTTCTTCTTCCGCTGTGTCTCCATATCTACAGTATCATACTGCCTCCTGGTGGCCAAGGGCACACCATGACAAGCAGCACAATGAAATGAACCGCGACATTAAATCAGGATGTACATGCTGAGGAAAGCTTGACACTCTTATTTAAGTATATTATTACTCAATGTTTTTATAAATTACAATATTGTGTGGGGTTTATTTTCTTGGAACAGCAATAATGGCATTCCCACTCATTTTCATGATGACGCCTTTAAAATGGTCAGAAAAATCTGCTTTGGGATCCTACTCATAGCTTGGAGCCAAACTTAGTAAAAAAAAACAATAAAAATAAGAAACTCACCAAGGCATTTGGTTCCATTGCTTGGCTGAAAGCCAACAGGACAGGTGCTGTTGTTTCGACCTGCTGAGTTGTGATTTCATGACGGATTATTGCACAACAAGCATGTGAACACGAACACACACGAAGCCGACAAAACACATTAAAACACACTCAAAACATTTTTCATTACATTTCCGACACGGGGGTTTGAGTGCATTGGTTCCGGTGCTCTGCTACAATTTCAAGTCCTGGAGGAGAAGATGTGAGTGTCAATGGGTGCGTGTGTTATGGAAGGCTATCCCGGGGGGGGATCTTCCCAAATATTTGAGTGATCCAGTATCACGGCATGTGTGCTTTTTGGAGGCGAAGGGCGTTAACGTGCCGACCTTTGTGCGGAGGGCAGAGGGTGCAGTCGCTGGAGCCCCAGGCCTTTCCCAGACCTCGGCAGCACATCTCTTTGCTCCTCAGGCCTGGCAGAGGAGAACTGCACTGTACGTGTACACGCAAACACAAAGAAGGAGTAATAAGATTTATTCACCTTCAGGCCTGATACACACATACACACACACCCACACCCACCCACCCACGCACACAAAACTTCCTTGGTGGAGGTCCATAAATGGTTACCGCGTCCAATATTGGTGCTCGGCTCAAAAGTTACACTTTGGGGAAGCGTCTGTTCTTGGCATGCACTGTCGTGTGTGTGCGCACGTGCGAAAAAAGCATTCAAGCTTCCAGTCGACGACATGATGAGTCCTTCTGTTTCCAATTAAGTCCCGGTCCTCAGGAGGTGGACAACAGCGCACGTGTTTCGAGAGAAAAACGGCCTGTTTGCACTTTGCCTCCCTGGGCGTCTGCGTTTCCTATTCTGTGTTTTTCACACAGCCTGTAAAGGCTTTGCTTCACTGAGCCCAATTCAGCGACTCCGACGTTATGCACTCATGTTGGAAGATGTCCTCGCGAGTGCGTCACAGAATCGTGGCGAGGCAAGCCGAAGGCAAGCGTTTGAGGTTGTCGGACGTGACGGAGGACAGGCAGGGAGCGGGGGGCCCCCTCTCCTGGCGATGCCTTGAATCCTGCTAGGGCTTCGGTACTTCTGACTTGAGGCTGGTTCCTGGTGGTTGCCTTGCCTGCCGCTCGTGTCTTGGTCCTTGCTGGTGCCATGGTTCCTGGCAGTGACTAGACCCCACTTGTGCCTTGGCTCCTGCGAGTGTCTTGGTCCTGACTTGAGCCTTGGCTTTTGTTGGGGCTTTGGTTCCTGGCAGTGACTTGACTCCCACTAGTTCTCAGTTCAGGTTAGCGCCTTGGTTCTGAATTGAGCCTCGTTTCCTGGTAGTGCTTCGGTTCTGGCAGGTGTCTTGGTTCCTGGCCGTGACCCGACTCCCACTTGTTTCCCGGTGTCTTGGTTGCTCCCTTGACTCTTGGGTCCCGACCATGCCTTGGTTCTAGCTGACACCTTGGTTCTGACTGGTGCCTAGGTTTTTGCCAGTGCCTCGGTTCCTGGTGGTGAGTTGACCACCGGACAATTCCATGGCGCCTGCTAATGTCTTGGTTCCGATTTGAGATTTGATTCCAGGGAGCGCCGTGTTTCCCGGCAGTCCTTGGTTCTGGTGGGTGCCTCGGCTCCTGCTAGTATCTTGCTTCTGACACGAGCCTTGGTCCAGGCTGGTGCCTTGCTTTGTGCTGCTCCCTTGGTGTTACCAGTGGTGACTTGAACTCTCACTAGATGCTCAATTCCTGCTGGTGTCTCGGTTCTGCTCTGAGCTCTGGTTTCTGGACGCGTCTTGGTGGCTGTGGTTTTCGTTAGTGCCTTTGTTTTGGCTGGTATACCTTGTTCTCACTTGAGCCTTATTTCCTGGCAGTATCTTGGTTTTGCCCGCTGGTTCCCGGCGTTGCCCTGACTCCACCTATTGCCCTGGCTTCTGCTCGTTTCCTGGTTCCGACAGGAGCCTTGGTTGGAGTTGGCGCCTTTGCCCAAGCAACTGTCTTCATTCAGACTCGAGCCTTGGTTCCTAGGGTCTTGACAACACTTGCTTCAAAAACTAACCCTGATTTCAAAACTTTAAAGTTGATGTTTCACAGGTGATTTCAAGAAGGGTTAGGGTTTCACAAGAGGGTTTTCAAGTATTATGGAGTGATCGCCATCACTTAGCACCCCTCACCTGTCCGTCTTTGACCTCCCTGAAGCAGTACTTGAAGCCGATGTGTTGGGCGTAGACGCGCTCTCCCCCGAGCGTCTGGGTCCGGACACCGCTGTCCACCGGCGCCGGAGCCCCCGCGGACCCAGACAGCGCGCCGGACAAGAGCGGTTGCGGGGCGGGCATGAATCCAGACACCTGAAGGCGCAAACGGTGAGCAACACCAAACAACTTGACAAAATGCTGAATTGGTCGATCGGAGCTCGGACCTTCATCACCTGATGAACCTTCACACTGGCTTCAGGAGGGTGCTGCACCCTGACCTTCACCAGGGACGCTCCAGCTGCTCCTGGGAACACAGATTGAAGCTTCAAAGTCGGTTTTGAAGTCTAGGTTAGGGTTCCAACCCGTCTTTCAAACTGAAAGATCACACGCACCGCCCGGTAGGTCCTGGTTCTGACCCCTGAGTGGCAGCAGAAACTCCGACCGGGTCAGATCCGTACTGGGCGCGGCGACTGACACGCGGGGAGGCTTGACGATTTCATTGGGTGAGGTGAATGAGGGCATGGCTTGCGATGTGACGGGAATCTGGCAGAACTTTCCGGTAAAGTTTGAAGGGCAGAGGCATCGATCCTTCAGCAGACACACCCCTCCGTTCTTACACAGCAGACGACACACAACTACACAAACACACGTTTGCGTCAGCACTCTCAGTCAAGGCCTAACCCTGGCTTGTACCGACGGCGGCTGACGTATCGTCGATAGAAAACAGCCACAGACGGCCTCCGCCACGCACGCGCTTCCCACCTCCTGGCCAGACGGGAAGCGCTGCTAACATGCAGATAACGTCGCACGGGGGAAAGTCGCTTGAGCCACTTGGGGACCATGCAGCGGTACACTCTTTGTCCTGACTACTAAGACGAGTCATGGCACAAGTACCTGTGGAACAACGAGGACGCGCTAGCCGTACGAATGGCTTCCCATTCTTTGACAATTGCAGGTCCCCAAAAAACTTTGAATGAGAATAAACAAAAGAATTGAGCGATCTCAATGGCTCTGATGGACTGCTGACCGTTTCTTTTTTGTTTGTTACTCGAGATTATTTTATGTATACATGAGGACAATAGTCAGATATTTCTTCTTTTCAAAGCAAACTGATCATCCAGTTTGAGAATGTCAACTTTAGCTCACGGCATACTGACATTGCTTTTCTCTGCCACCTGTTGCTAGGCAGACTTTCGGAGCACAATCCTCATTTTTTGCTCTCTCCAATGTTACCTTGGAGACTTGTCAGTCTCGTTGAGAAACGACGGGAGAGTTGCCGCACCCGCACGGCCCCGCACCCGCACCCACACCCACACCCACAGGAAGGAACTGCTGCCGAATGACAGCCGTCACCCGGTTCCCAATGCTACTCACAAACTCTGAATCGGTCTCCATTCGGCCGTTCCGTCGCCGGGCCACTGAACAGGGTGGTCACGTTGCCGCGCTCGCAGTGATTGACGCAACGCCGCTGGCTGCAGCGCACCTTGCAGATGGTGGGCGTGAACATGACCTGCAGCCGGTCCGGCCCGCCGCGGGCCGCGCCCGGGGCACTCCCCGGCGCCCCGGCCGACTGCCCGTCGGCCGCCCGGGAGAAGGAGACAACCAGGCATGACAGGAGGTAGACGAGCCTCAGACGCGGCATGACGGCTTTCGGGACACCTCAGAATGGCGCCGACGAGACTGGCATCATCCGAACGAGGAGGAGGAGCAACGGAGCAGAGTTTGGTTCCAAAGCGGCGGCAGGATGAGAAGAAGATGAAGAGAAACAAAAAAATGCTCTGCTTTCTAAAAAGAAAGTCAGCTTCCAAAGCTCGTGGTTCTTGTGCGTGTGCGTCTCTGCTATTCTACAATGCCAAAGGAGCGAGCGAGGGAGTTCTGGAGTTGGAAAATCTACTTCCAAAGCATCACAACGACAGCACCGACGACGACAAGGACATGAAGGAAGCGGGTGGCGTCGCAAAGGATAAAGTCTGCTTCCAAAGGTTGCGGTTCTTCTGCGGCGCGGTGCGTCTGCCCGCCGTTCTCCGATCCAAGCGAGTGAGCGAGCCTTTTAGAGTTGGAGAGGAATCTAATTGAAAGCAGGGAGCTGCTTGGGCTCAGGTCCAACATAAACACTGGGTCAGAACACGCCTACTCCTGCCACCACCGCCCCCCCGGTGCAGCTCGCGAGCCAGCGGCCCTAAATCAGAAAGTGACGCGCCATCGCAAGGAAGCCCGAAGGAAAAAGCAAACTCTGGAGCCTTGTCAGCCTTTTACCTCTTTTGCATCTTGTTTGAATGAAGGCACACAAAGGCAGCCTCTGCCTGGCGTTAGCACGGACGACGGCCACAGGCTCGACTCCGGCCACAGGGGCCCATCTCGGCACATCAGACGGACGCGCTGCGGCCACTCGCTTCCGGTCACAAAAGCCGTCCGAGTGGAGCGGCCCGATGCGCTCCTGCCACCCACTTCTTCCGCCACGGGGGGCCACCGCTGCCGGCCCAGAGACATCTCTCTGGCTCGTGCGGTGCGTTGTGGCCAACGACTCTGCCCTTCCAGCTCTTGTGAAGTCGCGCACAAAGCTGCGATTTGGACCATGTCAGCCGCTGGGAAGCCGTCGACGTGCGAGGCTCGGCCGGTCCATCAAGAACATTTCGCTTGGTGTCTGCCATGGAGACCAAGGCGCGCGCTTCCCGCACGGTGCCCGAAAACAACGTGGCCGCCACAGACTGAGTTTTGTCTGTTTTTGTCTGACCGGGTGCGGTCTTGCGGGACCCCCGTAAAAGCAAAAAAAGCCCATTGACCAACTTTTTAGGCGGGGCGGGCGGGATAAAGAAGTCTTGTCCTTGTTTCTGTTTGACTATGAGCTCACGTCCTGATGCACGTCAACCTCACCTTACGCAAGCCTTCCATCAAAGCACAACATGACGACACCTCGACAAGTCTAGACGTCCTGGCAACTTTTTTTGGAAAGAAATGTTTCTTTTCCAGCGCGGTGGCACACGTACATCCGGCTGGCAAAAGGTGGCGTCGGAAGGGAAGCAAAGGTGACTGCTCTTCAATGCACAAAGAGACATGAAAAATCCCAAATGACGACTCCATTCAAAATGCCGAGCATATCCAAGTTGTTATATTTGAATGTCTTTTGGGGGAAAAAACAAACAGTTTTCAAATATGACTTACAACTGAAATATTCTGACTTGGAAAAGTTAAGCATTGCACCACCCTCACGCTCATGTTTCATGTTTGACATTTTTCTTTGTATTTCATTGAGTTATTCTTTCACAACAGCAACTCTGCCGAATAAGTCGGAATATGTTTCAAGCACATACGAATGCTTTGACTTGTGGCGTCTTTGGGATGCGAGCTGCCGCTTGGGGGCATTTTGTCGGGGACTGGGACAGATTAATTGCATTTGCATTCATTTCAAGGGGGAAAGATGTTTTGAGACATGCGTTATGAGATACAAGCATGGTCACGGAAGAAATTAAATCAAATTTCAAGGCAGCACTGCACATTTTTAGATATTATATACTTATGCCACCCCCCCCCCCGCAGCCCTCACACAGACGAGTGGGTTGACAAAAGTGGGCGTGGCCGCAGTACAGCACAAAAACAGGAAGTGGGGCTTGTAGGAAGGAATCAGCGAGCACGTTTACATTCCTTATCTGAAGCTCACAAAGCCCCCAGAGCGCCATTCCTCAACAGTGACATCACCACCAGCTTGTTTTTACTCTGTGTGTGTGTGTGTGTGTGTGTGTGTGTGTGTGTGTGTGTGTATGCGTGCGTGCGTGCGTGCGTGCAACGCATCCATCACCAAGAGCATATCTGCACGTTCCCGATTAAAGAAGAAAAAAAATCGGGGATCCGAGACAAGCAATGGATGTTGCGTGGATGTTGGCATGATTAACATAGCGGCGCTCTCACAAGATAAACATACATGAGTGTGCACACACACACACACACACACACACACACACACACACACACACACACACACACACACACACTGCATTAGGTCACTGGAAATTTTTCAAAATAACATCATGGGAATGTACACAGAAAATGAATGTATAATCTCCCTGCCCTGTATGCTAAAGTAACAAAAAAAAAATATATATATAGATATCTATATATAGATATATATATATTTTTTTGTTTTGTTATGTTTTTGTTTTTTTTTGTAGGCAGCATGGCGGTTGGCTGATTAGCGCATCCGCCTCTCAGTGCAGAGGTCGTGGGTTCGAATCCGGCCTTGGCCTTCCCGTGTGGAGTTAGCCTTACGTACTAAAGATAATGAATGTCATTTGACGGGATTATGCGATCAAGTCGCATTCTGTTACCTGCGGGTGCGTCGATGTGTAGGGTGACGTTGCCTTGGTGGGAAAAGGACGTCCCAACACTGAGTCTCTTCTTCTCCTTCTCGATATGCTTCATTAGGGCGGTGGCCAACTTGTCTCGTTTTCCCCCCGCCATCTTCTTCATTAGTACGGCCTGAGCCTCGCGCAAACTGTCACAGTACAAAATAATTAAAAAACAAACAAACAAGTTGTCATTCATTTGACAAAGGATTGATTGAAAAACAAAAAAAGTCAACCTTTTTCGAGTTTGGTAATTTCAAGTAACGATGTTGAAATGAGTTGAGGCGTTTCGGTCAGGCAAAGGTTTTTCCTCGCTGTGCCCTAGCAACTATGTGGATGGAAGTTGAGGAGTTTCATTTTGACCAAAGCATTCCTTTGGCATCATCCTGGCGCCAAGGAGCTACCGTAGCTTCATTCCGCAGTCAACACCGACTATTTTTTTGACCATCAAAGCGTACCAGGGGCCACCGAGCCACCGACAAGGACCCAAACTTCACCCAGGACCAAATTTGACTCCTCACCTGAGAAAAGTCTTTTTTGCTGCTACCGCCTTCAACTTGGTCCCGCTCGACAGCTTGAAGGACGGTGAGAAGTCCTCAGATTCAGGACTTGAGTTAGGACTCGAAGACGAGGCGTCAGACGCCTCTGGACTTTCCTGAGGGCTCGAAGACACGCTCGAGTTTCCCTGCAGGAGTTCCTCGGTGAGAGGCCGTCTGGTGGAGTCCGGCGGATTCTCGGGAGCGGGTCGAAAAGCCATCTGCTTCGGTCCGGTCGCAAGCTTTGCGGACGCGCCGGAGCGCTCCAATTCCGAACTCGGGTTTGGACTGAAAGATGCGGGCCGGGCATGGTGATTGACAGGCGATCCCGTCGCCTTGGAAACCGAGCAGAGGCCTTTCGGACACTGGGAGGAGCCACGGCAACGAGGAGGGCAACGCTCTGCGGCAAGACACAAGGAGAGGAGAGGAAGAAAAGAGGAAAGGAAAAAAGGGGATGAGGAAGTGAGAAAAGAAGATGAGAAGAAAAGTTGAATTGCAAACAGCTGTGACTCGGCAGGGCCAAAATGAGTCCCCAGTGAGCCGTACTTCAGAAATGACATTTGAGCATCATCAAAAAGCTGGATAGGACCCCCCCCCGCCCCCACCCCACCCCCCTCTGAACTTGTTTTAAAGTGCTCGATCAATACAGTTGAGTTGAGTTACGCTAAAGACCAACCAGAGGCCAGCTAGTGTTTGTGGAGGCGGGAGGGGGTCAGAGCAACAGTTGCGACGCTGGACTTGTGGAAAATGCTGCCCCATTCCTGGCCCGACTGACTGAACCATGATTGCCCGATCTCTCGGGAGCGACCTGTGTGACTCGCCATTCATTTTGCGATGCCAGCTCACAAACGAGACCTTGGGGAGTACTTACCTCTCTGGTTCTGTGGATGTGTGTGTGTGTGTGTGTGTGTGTGTAATGTTTTAATCATGACAGAATTACTTACATGTCACTCCTACACCATGTTTATTATTGGACACACTCTCTTTCTGGCAACACACACAGACCAACGTGGAAATGTGCGCGCGCACACACACACACACACACACACACACACACACACACACACACACACACACACGCTCAGTGACTTACAAACACACACACAAAGAAGACAATCGCTCATTCTCACACGCACACGCCAACTTTTGCGGTGAGGGATGGAGAACGGTGAAATCGGGTGTGCCAGCCCCCTTGGCAGTTGGTCCTCACCCTTGGTGCACGCCGTGGTCCTCATCCTGGCTGCCAGAGCTGCACATGCGCCCCATCTGCAACACACACACACACACGCACACGCGCGCATCGACTACATGACTTTTTTCCTCTGACAAAAAGTGATTGTGACACTTCAACGTATTGGTGCAGGTGAGCGCTATGCTAATGGCGTCAACTCACATGAAATAACACACACAATGGAATCCCAAAAGATTTGGTCAAAACCAAAGTAGAAGAGAGCAAAGGGATAAAGAAGAATGACTTTTTAAAAAGATGCTTGTTGTCAATTGTCAATCTTTGCTGAAGTCTTTGTTCAAAAGTCAACGCTAAGCGCTCGAAAGTGGCGAGCCGGCGCCGGCGCGCGACAGGAAGCCTTTGGTTTGTCCCCTTTGTGGGTGTTGTTGATTGGCTTGCGTCGCGTGGACGCCTCTAACCGGGAAGCGCGTCAGCAAGTGAGAGGATGCCACCTCCCGCCGGGGATTTGAACGTTACTCACAGCTTGCTGCGCCCATTGTGCGCGCACGCACACTCAACGAGGCCAGCACGTGAGAAGAGGTGACAGGCAACATGAGAGGCCATTTCAGGATATTTGACCAACAAACAAAAAGCATTCCACCTCGCGCTGAAAGCAACACTTGCCCGTAGAGAGTCTGGGGACTTAATGCTGCCCCCCCTCCAAAAAAAAAAAATGCAAAACGCCACTGGCATGGTAACGGTTAGCATCGCAAATGGCCATTTTAGAAGCGGCAGATATTTGAACACAAATGGTGAAACAACACATGTAGACAATAGAACAATGCTCGCAATGCAGATCTTCTTTATCGTCTGTGAGACTCTCATGACAACATCTTACTAAATAGTAGTAGAAGTCATCGTCTATTCTTCTTTGTTTGGATTGCGGCTTGTCTGATTTCTTGACAACTCATGATCGACACGTTGACCAAATTTTGCACTATTATTAAGTCAAACTGGGACTGAATTTTGACCAAAACAAGCATCCAGTTAGTACAACTCAGGCTAAATTGGCCACGATGAACCAAAATGGCCGCTTTCTTTTTCTTGTCCGTCATGGCTTCTTGAGCCAAACGGAGGCAAAATTCTTTTCAAAGAGAAAAATGCGGTGGCACACGGCCACGCTTGAAAGAAGCAACTGGTTGGCTTCGTGTATCTGAAAGTGAGCCGACAATGGCCACTTAAAAAACACAAAGGCAGACTCCTCTGCGTCTGTTGAGCCGAGGGCTTCCTTCTCGAGACGTTTTTGGTGGGTCGAGTCACGGTAGAGTTGTCTAGCAAGTTTCAAGCGGTGCTTCGGGGCCTGTCTTTTCTTTCGTTTCCACCGCAGTCATTTCCCAAATGATCTGAATGAGAACGCGGCGAAAAGAAGCAGGTTGAACAGGTGCCGCCCAGGGACGTGTCGAGCTTGGCCAGTGGGGAGGAAAACAGCCGCCGCGAGCACGCGCAAACGTCGCACGTGCGGCTCGAGTCGCGGGCAAGGGCAAGAAAGCGCTTTGGAATTGCGGTTCCGGTTGTTCACTCACCTCCCCTTCCTGGGGGGCTCCGATTGGGGGAGCCCCGCGGGCCCCCTCGCCTCCTCCTCCCCCGGTCTCCCCGTCTCCGGGCCGGGGCCGCGCCGGCCGGCCTCCCGGTGTCGGTGCCGGCTCCGGCGGCCGTCGGCGGCGTGCACGCTGAGCATCCACGCGGTCGTGCACACGCAGAGCAAGAGCACGCGCATGGCGGGGGGAAGATGACCACTGCAAAGTGGGGAAACTTCAAACTCATTTCGTCGGCGTGCGGTGGGGGCCGCGCACACGTGATGTGCGGCGGCCAATGGGACCACGAGCTGGCCAATAGGAATCCAGCAAGGGGGATGCTCTTCAATGATCACTTGAAGCCTCGGGGTCACGCGAGCGACCTCCACGTTTCAAGTGGGGGAGAAGTACAATGAGAAGGTCAACAAATCATTGGAAGCGTGGGGGGGGGGGGATTATTGTTGAACGTATATGGAAAGTTGATCATTTTCCAAAACATAGTTTTTGTATTCTTGTCAAAGTCATCTTTCTTGTGAAATATGCTCTATGTACACCAAACAACACAGATGAACTTTCGCTTTCCTCTCAACCGCAGTGCAAACATGCAGTGCATTCAAAACACACACAGCAGAAAATACCGGCAGAGAAACTGAACTGTATGAAAAGACATAAATAGATAAATACAAACTATAACAACAACTAAATCAATTATTCATGTACGCAATGAGACAAACGAATAACCCCCCTTTTTTAAGAATACATGCTCTTGAACAAGTTCTCGAGATGCAACAATTGGCGCTGTGGCTCCAATGTAGCGTGCAGGACTAGTGAGCGCCGCTAGAGGGAGGCAGCGCGACCGTGTGGTGGTGACGTCAGTGGGAAATCCCACGGCCCAACTGAATGTCGCAACTCGCAAACACACAGGAAGTTACGCCATCGTACACACACACGAGCGGTGATCGCTTGGGTGACTTTGAACGCTGTCCGCGTACTTGTCCTTTTCATGATTACGCCGAACGGCTTTCGGGCTGAGCGAGCGACTGAGTGCGCATGCGTGCGTGATGTGTCAAGCGTTCGCCTCCCGCTACCGAGCGGTTCCCTTTGGGCACGCCGAAGTCTCGGTCCCCCCCGGACTGTGACGCGCTAGCAGACGCATGCTACCAACTCGTGCTCATGTGAGTCGACAGTTTGCTTTTGTCTTATTTTGCTCTTTTTCTCTTTGGACTCTGGCAGCGGCGCACTCGCCTTTCGCCTTCTAGCGCTCGCCGCCCCTGTGTCCATCTTCTTCAAACTCGTTTCAAGACGCATCTTTATTTCGTGGCTTTTTACCCAAAATGAGACTGACACCGTTCTGTGATTTTCTGCTCTCTACTATTGAATGGACAAACTTCACACATTTTGTTTCTGTGTTGTCATGTTCTATGCAGCAGTGCTTTGTTACAACTGCACTTGTCGGCACATGCGCTGTACAAATAAACCCGGATATTGTTCTGAATTGAATTTATCAACAAAACAGAGTAGGCTAAGAGCTCAAAACTCTGAAAAGTTCATTCAAACTTCCCTTGTTGCTACTGGAGTGGAGGAGAATGGCGTGTTCGCGGGCCACGGTCTCGGCATTTCCTTTTTTTCTCCTCTGTTACGGTTCGATGGCATGGTGAAGATTGTTACAAAAAAAACCGAAACACATCAACAACAACATTGTACACACCATATTGTGTGATCTAAAAAGCTGTGTAAAAAGTGTGTGTGTGTGTATTCGCAGGACATTGGTCATCTTGCTTGTACCTTTGCTGGTTGCCACGGTGACGGCGGACCTCCACACGGATACCGGCCCGCCAGGTAGGCGCCAGGCGCTCCGACAACTGGAAACAAACACAGAAGCGAGTCTGCGTTCAGGTTTCATTCACAGTCGGGCTTGAAAAAATGTTTGGCTCGATGTGATCAGGCGACTGCGCGTGTGTGTGTGGTTAGGGACGAGGTGCCAAGACTGGGACGAGTCGTGGTCCTGGGTCGTGCATGTCCTGGAGGGTGAGGCGGCGTGGGTGCGGTGTCCCCTCTGGGGCCACCCGGCCCTCGACAACTCGTCACGCGACCTGACGTGGTACCGCCGCCTCCGAGGACAACACTTTGAACGACCAATCACGCACAAGTAAAGCAAGCATCATCATCATCATCATCATCATCGATACCGGCATCTCGAGTCCATTTGGGGTCGAATCAAGTGACTTGTCGAATAGTCAACTTGACTACATACACTGAAAATAACCGGCTGTCGAATTGACTATTTGATTTGTGTGTGTGTGTGTGTCGGGGGGGGGGTGGGGTTCAGACTCACAAATTGGCTCTGGGCTGCCATCTGCTGGAGAAAAGCGGTGGCTTCACCTTTGCTTTTTGAAAAATAGTGAAAATCCATTCTGAATTTTGACATCGATTTGTTTAAAAATCCCGATATTTGAGTGAGTCGATTTTTTTTTTTTTTTCTGCTTTTTGAAAAATCTTGAAAATCCATTCTGAACTTTGACATCGATTTATTTAAAAATCCCGATATTTGAGTGAATCGATTTTTTTTTTTTTGCACACACCTAGTTTGCTTGGGATTTTTTGGGGGAGGCGGGGGTGTATTGAGATGTAATTGTGTCGATGATATGTGTCTGGCGATTGCGTTGTCGCAGCGGAATGGGACTGCGATTGTGTTGCGCTAACGCGCTGGTGTTGTTTTGCCGCAGTGGGCGTCTGAGCAAAGAGTACGACAGGTTGTGCTTTCAGCCGGCGGTGGCCGACGACTCGGGCTGCTACGCCTGCCTGCCACGGTGAGGAGCGCCACC